ACATGGACCGGGTGTCTGCTAGTGCCGTTAAACAAGCGATAACTCAATACGTAATTAGACAAGCAAACTCGGCTGTTACAAGGGAAATCAGACATGACACTGCACGGGATTAATTTTTCGTGATATTCTTTTAACTGTCCATCACACTAGGTCATTCGGTATAGCGACGGGCTACGGGGCTGGACACTCGGGGTTCGGTTCCCGGCAGAGGCAAGAAATTGTCTGTCCATAGTGTCCAGACCGGCTCTAGTGCCTACCCAATATCCTAACCGATATGCACCGGTTGGGGGGAATATTCCCACAAGGATAAAGCTGCCGCGACGTGAAGCTAACCACTCACCTCCATTTCATGCCGAGGTCAAGAATGGGGGGTATGCTTAAACTCCCCCTATACGCCTTCATGGCATGGTGATTAATTAATTAAGAACGGGGGCAACTTTACCTTTGCCTTTATCTGTGTCAACTCTTAAAGTTACATACTCAGATATCAGTCACACATGCTTTCGAGTTCGGGTAAACTGTCCCAGGTCTTCGCCAGCACAGTCATCCTCAGTTCCAGGCCCCCCACGGGACCAGTGATCATATTTTTCTGTCTCCCGACTTTGACTGAGTCGTGAATTCTTTCCACATCCTATGTATGCTCTACTCACCATTTTGCTTACGGAACGGACTGCAAAGTAAACATGTGAGAAAACATGAAACGTGAAATCAATCTGTGTGCAATATAAAATATACAGACATTGTACTAAAGACTGAATTGTGCTGAAGAAAGGTATATGCTCTGTTTCCTTGCATTAAGAATTCGGATTTACGGGTTCTATAATATTAAGCAGTTAAGATAATCTCATTGTCAGATATTACTAATCACGTTTACATTAAAATTAAAGAAAGAATTACAGAGAACTGAAATACAACAATCGTGGTGTATACTGAGACACTACAGTCTTGTCTGAACAAGAGATAATAAGAGTAACATATCCTAAGACATTCAGAGCAATTTTTACATAATTACCTACCAATACAGATTAATGGTATGATTTTAAATCAAAGTTGGCAACAGTGGTTCACATCAATAACTGCTTTTGTTTAATTTACAACTGTAATTGTCCGTGATGCATTTCTCGTCCAGAATAAATTACATGAAGTATAACACAATTTAATTTCCAATACAATGCACTCGTGTGTAACAGTGTAATAAGCTGTATAAAACACAGAGTATCAATTACGAATTCGATTTGAGGAGGGGTACAACAATCGATACTTTCAGTCATAACCGTCTTTGCTTGGGACACGTACACGTGAAATAACGATCACGACATAGTAGGAAGTGGGTGCGAAGAGCCAATCATAGAACTGCTTCAATAAACCGGGTTTCAAGTACAATTTAATACATTTCGGTCCCTGCTCACATAAAAAAAATACACAACAATGGATATATGTTTTCATCCAACGTAGATGATGGCAGGGTTTGTAACGTGCTGAAAGCCATAGACCTACTACACGAAAAAATCATAGGGTAGTCGGTGTGCCGGCCGAGGCTCGAACCCGGCATCTCCCGAAATGACGTCAGAAGAGTTCCCGCTTGAGCTCACTTGTCCGAGAACAACATGCAAATGAGCCTGTGTTTTACTGTCTGAAAGTAACAGAATATATAAGCAATTTCGTTTCGGTTTATACGTATTTTGGATATTAAAATATTGTTTATGGCCACTAAAAATCTATAGGACACCGTCAAGGTCAGGTCCGGGTCAAGAATTAATGAAAAACCAGGTACAAAAGGCGGCCTTCTGTTGATACTATAATAATTAACCGAGAAACACACCAGCCAGGACCATTATTTGGAGTTACTGGTTTAGTCCTATCGTCCTTGGAAAAGTCTGGGAGGCATAAGAAGATAGAAAATAATGATTTTGTGACGATGGTATCAAAATTTCGACAACCGAGCACAGGAGTGTACTATATCCATTAACACTAATTTTTCTGGAAAATGATTTCGAAGTTAGTGAATTAACTGCAGTTTAAATGTGACTTATTGTCACTGGTTGCATCATGTTGTGTGTCTCAGACAATATATACTATGTAGGAGCTAAGCTATCGTCAACACAACAAAATATTTCAATTATTACATTTAGAACTTTATTTACTGCGACATCTTTCGGGCATACATGACCATCATCAGGCAGGAATACGTACAGTTATTGAAATGCTGACATCGATCCTTATCGGTGCAACGCGTCGTACTAAATATTAACATAAACACTCTGCCTCACATTAGTGTCTATAGTTAAAATAGCAAACATATGATGAAGAATAAAAAATATAAAAAATAAAAATAAAGATAAAATAAAGGTGTACATATAAAATGCTGAAATATATTAAAACATACGAGTATTAAAGGTATGTTAGGAGTATATAAAAGTATATTAAAATGTATTAACAAATATATGTGGGGTTAGGGATCTGTATGCCAACTAAAATAATTTATTATTTATTAATGCGACTTAGAACAAGACAAAATTCTGAAATCCCACGCTTACAAAGTAAACTAAACCTACAGAATTATGTGGAGATAATGTAACACGGATATGGGGAACGAGATAAATGAATTATCTCATTTTCGCCCAAAGTGGAGATAGAACACTTCAGTACTCATGGGACGATTTATATCAATTTAATAGCTGATCTGTCAATCTCTGTAAATTCTATGTAGCTTTCAGCAACCGGCGTTCCGTAACATTCCCAGAAATGCAATCCCCTATACGCTATTGAAACCGATACAAAGCAGGCAACATTCCTCACTGAAACAAGGATCTTCCGCACCGAGACATGAGCACAATGATGTCCTTTATACTCTTTGTCCTTTGTCATTGTATAAAATTTAATCTCATGCTCACTGAAAGCTGTTCGTGATATGAAAGCCCTGGAAGTCCACGGAATTCCTTCAAATAGCACTACAAAGTGTTCACATCCTGGGATTACTACAGTCCTCCACAAGAGGCTCGAATGTTCAAAATGTTGATGACATGGATGATTAATTAGCATGAATCATAAAGGAATCCCAGCAGGTGTTTTCTTAGAAGCCCCCCCCCCCAAAAAAAAACACCCCAAAAAGACAGCAGAATGTGGTATTCAGAAAACAAGCCTCCAGATATCATAGGGGTCATTTCTTGGAAACCCCACACATATCAGACTGCAGGTAGATCTTAAGAGTATAACTTGAGACTAAATTCACACAGAGAAGGTCTAATTATTACAGGAATTCGTTTCAAGGTGTTTAACCCCAAAATCAAACTGGACACAATTCCGAGCCAGATCCACGGATCCCACACATGCAAAATAAATTTCCCGAAAGTTCGTATCATATTTTATATCTACCATCGTCTTTCAAGAGGCCATAACAAAAAAAAATGTCTCTACCGAAACTACTGACTTCTGTAATTCTCAGGCAAGTGACGGTTAAAAGAAAGAAAAGAACACAGTACAGAATTTGTGCGATGAAACCCATTGGAAAACGGTCACTTGCTAGAGAGAAAAGAAAGGGTGATGAGGGGATAACAATAAAATAAATCTTCTGGAAATTGAGTACAAGGGAGGAAGTTGGGTGAAACTGGCTCACAAACGTGCACAGCAACGGGCTTTGGTGTCAACGGTGTTAAAGTTTCAGGCTTCATTTCCAGAAACTTACTTACCTGTTTCAGGAATGCTTCTGACACAAATGTAAGCACTTCATGCCATGTAATTGCACGGATTCTTTATGCGATCGACTGGCTATTGTCTAGTCAGTTCACTACTTGGTGATTTACAAGGACATGAGAAAATTATACATGATCAATAGGAGCAGTTTTGGAAGAAGGGCGTGTAAATTTCAAACTCTTATCACAGTAGTCGCATCCAGAGGCTGCCCCCCCCCCTCCAAAATTACAAAAATATCAGTTAGTTCTACAGGGAGTCCAGACTACATTTCAAATTGGTAACTAACTAATTTACTCCACGGAGCTTAGCCCTTCTTAAGCCACCAGTTGTGCAGTTACTCAAGAACCTCCCAGCATTTTATGGGACACGAAGGTTCATTACCGTGTTCACAAGAGCCCTCCAGCGGTCCCTATCCTAAGCTACATCACTCCGGTTCATGCCATCCCATCTTATCTAAGATCCATTTAAATATTATACACCCACCTACGTCTTGGTCTTCCTAGTTGTCTCTTTCCTTCTGGTTTTATCACAAATACCCTACATGCATTCCTCTTCACCCCATACGTACTACCTGCCCTGCCAATCTTATCCTCCTTAAGTCGGTAATTCTAAATATACTCGTATTTGGCGAAGAGTATAACTTATGAAGCTCCTCATTATGCACTTTTCTCCAACATTTTATCATTTCATCTCTCTTCAGTCCAACTATTCACCTCAACACCCAATTCTCAAACACCCTCAGTCTGTGTTCCTACCTTAATGTAAGAGACTAATTTTCTCACCTATACAGAACCACAGGCAAATTTATAGTTTCATACATTCTGACTTTTACGTTTTTAGACAGAAGACGAAAAGAAAGAATGTTCTAGACTGAATGGTAGCAGGCATTACCAGAATTCAGTCTCCTCTTAATTTCCTCAAGAATCAGGTTTTGATTTCTTACTGTAGTACCCAAATATCTGAACTGTGCCACATTTATGAAGGATCTGTTAATTCTCTTAATGTCGTGACGAGACAGCAATATATACTTAGTTTTCTCTGTTTATTTCTACACCAAATTACTTATTGACGTCAAATAAAGTTGCTGTGTTTTCCTTTATGGTATTTGTGTTATTACCAAGTACATTGACATCATCAGCAAAGACCATCAGTTGATGTGTCCCATTTAATTTCAGTCCCATCTGGTTTCCCTGGACCTTCTTAATGGCACATATTAAAGCAAAGTTCAAAAGCAATGGCGATAAAGCATCTCCGTAAGGCCTGGCTTAATTTATGAACAGAGTTGGCCACTTGGATGTTCTACTTACGTAGTTTCTGAACAGGTCAGGGTGATCCTTCTCGAGCCCGTCGTCCAGGATTGTGACCACTACACCGAGGCCGGTTATTCCCTCCTGCCAGGCCGGCTGCACGTTCATGTCTAGTCCCTGCCCTCGGTTCTGCAATGTAAACAGTTTCGCTGGGCTCAGTGCCATAGGGACGGCTAGCAAACAGATGTAGGAAAACTTACGGAGCCTATGTTCTTTAAAATCCTTTAAATATATGTCTCATTTGTTTAATTGGTTGGGTTCAGCATTAGTTTACGCAAGGCCCACACCTGAATAACACCGGAATGCTGCAATGTGTTCTAGAATTTAGTTAAATTTACTTGTGTTTTAATTTAATTAGCCAGTCAAGGTAGCCGAGCGGTCTAAGGCATGTATTGTCTTCACTTGCTCGGAAACCGGGATCGTGGGTTCGAATTCCACATAAGGCATGGATGTTTGGTGTGTGTGTGTGTGTTCACTCTGTGTTTGTGTTGTCCTGTGTTTAGGTAGAGACCTTGCGACGAGCTGATCCCCCGTCCAAGGTGTCCTACCGTCTGTAAAATGATCAAAAAAAAAAAAAAACTTCGACGCCGGATAAGAGGAATTAATTAAATTAATTAATTTAATTTGACTTACGTAATTAATATTTTCCTATCATAGTCTTCTAAATATTCAGTCATCCTTACTCCATTTCCTATTCATATTTAATCCTAAATAAACATTTCCTTGGTCCTTAAGATACCCTTTGTTAATATAAATTATTATTTTTCTGTATGCCAATTTCGTTTTAGTTACTAATCACTTCTTACATAATTATTCCTTTCTCAATTTAATAAAACATATATATTGCATTCCCCTTTTCACACAAGGGACACCACTTCCCTAGGTACCGGCAAGGAGGGGGAAACCCAGACATTTGCCTCCCCTGAATTTTCTAAAAGATCATAATTGAAAAAGAGGGAAATATATTAAATGTTAACACAAAAAATTAGAGCATTTTTTTTAATTATTCATCTATCCTGAACATTGTAGAGTAATAATTAAAAGCCATCTCAAAAGGTTTAATGTATGCAAATTTCATGGTTGGCTCCTGGGTAAACCGACTGCCTCTGGGAGAAATCACAGCGGAGCTATGGATACCTTCCCCTACTCCATCTCCACGTTCTCTCGGTTTATATGATGAGGCTAGCGAAAACTACAAATTAACAGTATGCTAGTCTGCGATCCAACTTACAACTCTTAATACATTTAAGAGGGCCACGTGACTCTTCGCAATGTCCCTGCTGTTGTTACCGGCGCACTTAATTCAGAATTCATATAGCGAGGACTCCAAGTGATATAAAATATTGTGACAGTCTTCAAGACATGAATATTACTGTCTTATGAGATGTGACACCGTACAGTTCGATCTTAGGCAACGTTTCGGAGGAACTGATTGGTTCCCTCTTCATGGTAGAAGCAAAATATCGACAAAAACATTCGAACCTACGCGTTATCACATCCCAGTACTGTTCACAATCACCAACGAAATAAGCAGGGACGGCACTAACAAGATCTGATACGAAGCATTTCCAAATAGGTTTATTTAATTCAATTAAATTCTTATTTATTTACGTGCAAATTTAACAGATCAGAGGCCAATTAGAAAGTAATCAGGAGTAAAGAAGAGAGAATAAAACAAGAGAAGAACATACAAAACAAAATATATAAAAAACAAGGCAATCATATTTATTTCCGTGTACTAATAATATAGCGCAAATGAAGTCTGAAAGAGATCTGCATGAAGACCTAAATGTAAATGAGATTATGAAGCTTAAATGAACAGGACAGAAAATTGTACTATAGATTCATGTGGTTAAAACAGGAAGCAATGGCGCGCTCTTTCGAACACGGAAAAGAACCTTCGTGCTTCACGAAATATTATGACATTCTTGAGTAGCTGAGCAGTTATTACCTCCAAAGAGACAGTTAGTTAGGAGCATTTTCTATCTCTAGATTTAGCAGAGAAGACGGCGCCATAACAACGAAATGTTTACTGATAGAGAAAATAATTAGAACAGATTAAAAACCTCTACTGAATTCTCTTTCCGTCTCTTTCTTTAGAACAAAATGGCCCACACGTGCTTGACACAGCTTCCTGCGAGCGACCAAGTTGTCTGACGAGAGGCCGCGCCATAGCTCAAGCGATTGGTTGCTGGCTTCCCACAGCGGCGGCCCGGGTTCGATCCAGGGTGTGGTCAAGTGGTATTTGTGGTGGACAGAGTGGCGCTGGAGCGGGTTTTCTCCGAGTACTTCGGTTTCCCCTGTCAATCTTCATTCCACCAAATTCTCCATCATCATAATCACCCGGGGCAGGCTACAATAGGCCAATCAGTGGCCGCCGTGCCGAGTGGACCCAGTTGGACTCCACCCCTCATTAAGTGAATTAAAAAAAAGTTGTCTGGCGATGCATCGTGTCGCCTCAACTGATTAATTCTGCAACAAGTAACGGTGCAGAATCGAGCACATATTATTATTATTATTCTATTTCTGTTGCTCCCACTTGGAGCATAGGGCATCCATGAAACGCTTCTTTTCACTTCAGTTTCTCAATTTATGAGAGTAAGATTCCTTGGACGGGGATCAGCTCGTCTTAAGGCTCCTACCTAACATAAACACAGAATAAATGCACATAGACAACCATGCCTTCAGTGAGATCCGAACCCACGATCCTAGTGTTCGAGCGGGCCAAGACATTTCATGCCCTACACCGCGTGGTCACTCTGATCAGCAATCGAGCAGATACCGCGCTCGAATTATATACTGGAAACATCCAGTTTTGAGTTTCCATTAAAACGCGTTTCATTCGTTGCCCATCTTTCGTCAACCGGATGTACACTCCGTGGTACAGTTCCGCAAGAGCCAAAGGCGAACAGCGTTGCTTTAGTCAAGTTCCGACCCTCCTTTGTAACCTATTCGCAACTTCTGTAGTAAGACAAAATCAATGTACAAAGTATGTTTAAAATGAGTTTGTCGATGGGAGGGAAGTTTGGAGATGTAGGATAGGAAGGGCTGCCAACATCGACTGCCAGACAACTAGCCATTAACATTTTCTTTGGATGCAACTTCTTACTTACTTAAGACGTTCAATTAACCAGTGTCATTTAAATTAACTATATCCTGTAGCTATCACATCATTAATCTCTCTCTCTGTCCTTCTTTCTCATTCTTTATATCCTTTCCTCGTCCTTTCTCTGTCTTTAAATGTCCTTCACGTAGGATATTTCGTTCCATTACGCTAAGCAATGAAGGGACATTTCATGTTATCACATTTCAGTAGGTGGACTGACGGACGAATTACTCGTAGATACTCTACCCAGTCTGCAGTTTGCGCCATCGTGTCTCCGTGCTGATGTGCCTACAGTTACTGGAATATTTAACAAACGCGCCGCGTTTATGGAACCAGAAGCCATGTTACCATCCTAAGGAAGTTACAGAACACATCTTAGTACTCTCCTTCTACTATGCTGACGTCATGACTTAGACAGGTGTGCGGCGGTTTTCATAATCTCATTCGTTTCAACTGTGCTCCTTTCTTTGCGTCATGTCGCAGATATCGTGTCTTGTCTGTGACATGTCTTGACGCATGCCGGTGTGCGGCCTATCTAAGTCTTCTCCAGCCTGCAGCGTCTTCACTAGACGTTTCCTGGTAACGGATTTTAACAGTGGATATTCTTCATATTCACGGGCTCAAGTCCTCTCTTCACAGCCTCCCGTACACTGAGCACTCTTAAAACTAATTCGCAGCCATTTTGCGCCAAACTCCTAGTCTTCTCTTCATCAACTGGCTATCAATTAAGCTCAAGTCAAAGTCACATTGTGACTGACGGTCAGTCAGTCGGTCACTAAGTCTTGGTGTTGAGTCCCTGTTTGACAGTTACGGTCAAGATTTTCTTCGTGAGGCACCCTCTCTGACGAGAGGATGGGTCTGTCTTTTGTACATGCTGCTGGCCCTTGCCGGCACAGCCTTTCTCGGGTCCGTGTACCTTGGGACTCGCAACCATATTTTATTGTCTCAGATTCGAGACTTCCCTTTTCGTCGCCTCTTACGACTCGCAGGGTCACGGTGGAGGCATTCGACCCCGCCTCTATACCATCAACTAAGATCTAAACCTCGTCTAGCTTATAACCTCTCGGCAGGGACCACGTAGAAAACAAAGCTCTTCTACTGTCGTAGAGACGTTTTTACGCGCCGTTGCCTATCAACGGTCGCTGTTTACAGAGTCACCGCTTAGCAACGTGTCTGTACGCCATAGTATTTTGATCTAAATCTGATAGTGCGAAATTTTCGGTTTTTGGCACCATGAAAGATTTTATTCAATGCAATACAAATTCGAAAGATTATCTGTGTACGGTTTCGTTAGCGTAACAGGAAATGACGTCAGTGGAGGGAGGTCCAACTTTTGAAACTATCTTCCTCTTCTCCTCCTTCTGAATCTCTGTTGTATGTTGTTAGATGATGTCATGTAGGATAGAGTAACAACGCGCCAAGGCTTCAAGAAGAGGCGATTGTACCCTATCCGTCCGTTTGCTCTCAAAGAGCAGTTATGTACAACATGAAGACAAACAAAAAGAGACAACTTTCTTACCCATCTCAGCCGTGACTGTAAGTTCCAACTGAAGAGTCAGCCACAAAATAAAAAAGGGGGGGGGGGATTCAACTCCACTTCGTAGAATTATTGTAAATACCAAAATAAAACGAAGTTGCCAAAAGTGGTGTGCATCTCAAAAAGCCACACACAGACCGCCATGCAGCACATTAGCACATCCGTATGCTAAGAGACTGGCATTAATAGGATTCCCTGCCTTCAGCTCGTAATAATCTGAGCAAAAAATTCCTCGAATATTTAAAAAAAATGTCTTTACACGCACGAACTTTTCTGATATCCTTCAAATACATCTTAGGGCCTAATCGTATCTAACAGGTTTGCAACTGTACACTTATTTAGATCCAAACCCATTACATTTAATAATAAACTACATCTGTGATACCTATGTGTGCATGTCTACAAACGCTTCAATTAACCTACACCCTCAAGTATAATAATCATTAAATGCTCAATTACATCTACTATATAATGCGTCAATTATTC